GGCATTCTCCTCTGCCTTCTATTCACTGAGATTTGTATTCTTCTCTAGGGAAGATGTCTAACATTATACATTGATTATGGATTCAAGAATTAGAAGGTATTTGAAATAGGACTTATTCCATTCATCTTTTCAATGAATAAATTCCTTTTGTAGAACTTCTAACTCTGGGTTAAGCTCAAATAACTCTAGGACAGTGGGCTCATTCCTCCACCAACAAACTAATTTCTAGGAACACATGATAGAAATTTGTGGTGAAAACATTTTCTTTTTTCTTCTCCCAAGAATTATCTTTTATTTATTTATTTTTTTCATTTATTTTTATTAGTTGGAGGCTAATTACTTTACAATATTGTAGTGGTTTTTGTCATACATTGACATGAATCAGCCATACATGTATTCCCCATCCATTTTCTTGATATAGATTTTATCTATCCATATTGGTTCTTTTTTTTTTAATACCATTTATTTAATTTATTCATGTGACTGCACCAGGTCTTCATTGCGGCATGTGGGATCTTTAGTTGCCACATGCAAACTCTTAGTTGTGGCACGGGGGATCTAGTTCCCCGACCAGGGATCGTACCTGGGCCCCCTGCATTGGGAGCGGGGAGTTTCGGGCACTGGACCACCAGGGAAGTCACTCTGTGCTGGTTCTTGATCTTGGTTTTTTATTGGGAAAAGTCCAATCTTTCTTCCTTATGTTGGTTCTCTTCAGGTATCTGAAGATAGTAGTACTTTCTCTCTTGTAATATATTAATTAAAGAATCTGCCTGAAATGCGGGAGACAGGGGTTTGATCCCTGAGTGGGGAAGATCCCCTGGAGAAGGGAATGGCTACCCTCTCCAGGATTCTTGCCTGGGGAATTCCATGCACAGAGGAGCCTGGTGGGCTGTAGTCCATGGGGTCACAAGGGTCGGGCATGTGACTAACACGCAGTGTACTGTGTCACATATGCCTCTTACCTTATGGTGTCAGCTCTCTGCCTTTCTGGGGGCCCTTTCAGCTGGCTCAAGGTTGTCTATGTATGTTTGTGTATACCAACTAGTCCACCAAAGAGAGGCTTTCTAGCAGGGGAGCGCAGCTACTCCTATACCTTTGACCGAAGACCGGTCCTCCTCTATCAGGGATGGTCGTCCTCTTCGACCGAGCACGCAGCTTCGGGAGGGACGCACGTGGAGCGGTGAGGGAGGAAGGGGACACCCGCCTAGCCAGCCAGATCAGCCGAATCAACCCTGGTGATCAATGGGGTGACAGATGTTGCAACCAGATCACCCTCACATCCAACAGAGAGGCTTTCAAGACTGCTCTCCTCGTATCTCTCAGGCTTATTAGTGCAGTCTGAGATTATGTTAGATTGTTTGGCAACAGTAGCACTTTGTCAACTCATATTGACTGTCAGCTGAAATGACTCCTTATTTCTATTTAAGAGCAGAAACCATGTATTCTTAACATCCATCATGTTGTATTATAGTTGAAAGTTGAATACAAAAATCTGGTACTTAGACAATTATATTTTGACCTACATTTTATCCTTGTTATATTTCAATTGTTGAAGTTCTTTTTGTGAATCCTTATTCTCAGCATGTAACATCCAATATCCTCCCCAGCTTTTTGCCAATGTAAGTTTAGGCCATTGATAAGTTATTTAATCAGGTTATATAATATCTCTAATAAGAGTGGACATTTATTGAGCATTAATTATTTGCTGGGCTTCCCTGGTGGCTCAGTAGAAAATAACCTACCTGCCAGTGCAGGAGGTGTAAGTTTGATCCCTGGGTTGGGAAGATCCCCTGGAAGAGGAAATGGAAACTCATTCCAGTATTTTTGCCAGGATGATCCCATGGACGGAGGAACCTGGTGGGTTACAGTCCATGGGGTTGCAAAAGAGTCGCACACAGCTCAGTGACTAAACAACAACAGCAGCAGTTATATGGTAGGCACCAAAGCTCTGCCTTTCCACGTGTATCCTTGGTAGTTTCATACAACACTGTGAAGCAAGTACTATTGATAACCCTCTCTTTACACATGAACCACTGAATCAGACATAGGTCCTAAGGGCTGCCTTTGGAAATCTTTCTTCCAGTTGATAGTAATTCACTCATCAGTTTCTTTTGAGGAGAGTCTTTCAGCCAGTTACTAACAATCTTCTCACTTGTACTAGAATCTAATACATAAATCTCTTACATATAGGCTATCAGTATGATAAACTGATTATTTATCTTTATGATTTTTTTTCTGATTATTTTAGTAACATATGACCATTTAGGAAATAATGGCAAATATAGCAAATTATAAAGAAAAATAATAATCACTCTGAATCTTACCATCCAAGAATAACAACTGTTAACCTTAAAATGTTCCATAAGTATGTTTGATCATTTTTTTATGCTTATCAGCTTATTCCTTAGTTACTATGTCCAGTTCTTTGAAAAATTTAGTGTTTTCTAATCTGTCTCTCAAAGAAACTCTTAACTGAGAAGAGATTATTAGCTGATAGAGTGGTTATTTGTCCTTTTAGTAGTTATGTTACTGGATTTGTCCAACTCTGTTTAAATAATAAACTTGCAATGAGGAATAATATATCTTTCATATTATTCATATGTGGTATTGGTTTGTGAAATGACACTGAGTGAAGTTGAGTAATTGGTAATATATGTGAGTCTATATAAGTTAAAAAATATGTTTATTAATGTGAAAAGAAGGAATATTAGCATATGCTGTAAACAATTAGCTTTAGAGTAGAATAAAATAATCATTTTTTACTTACATACTTAGCATAATTATTATTTACCTCCAAAGAAAATTTATTTCTTGGAAGAATCTGCAAGGACTCTGTGTTGTTGGGTAAATACTTCCATACTTAGGTTTATTTAAGACGTTCTAAACTGGTCTAAGGAATTCTCAATTTGTTCAAAATTACATCTTTGATTTTAGGAAACAAATTAGCATAAGCTGATGTAAAACTTAGCCATTGTTGTTGCTTAGTCACTAAGTCCTGTCTGACTCTCTTGTAATTCCATTGAATGTAGCCCACCAGGCTCCTCTGTCCGCAGGATTCTCCAGGCAAGAAAACTAGAGTGGGTTGTCATTTCCCTCCCTCTCCAAAGGGTCTTCCTCACCCAGGGACTGGACTCATGTCAGTCATCCACCTTGTCATCCCATATTATCCACCTTGCGTTGGCAGGTGGATTCTTTACCACTGAATGGACTGGGAAGCCCTAAAACTTAGCTATAGAAAGTGTTTTGTTTGAATATATGTTTTAATGCCCATATGTTTATGCTTCAGGAAAATATATTTAGTAATGCTATAGGGAATACAAATTCCGAGAAGGCAATGTTTATGGAGCTTTTGTAAATTCTTAAATAAGTCAGTGTTTTAGATACTAGATTTGGGAACCTTGAATAGTGATCTCCATGTGGCTCTCAGGGTCCTTCTGCTTTGGCCCAAAGTAACTTTCTGCTATGATTCTGAGAACCATTTCTTCTGTTTCTTCTGATACCCCATCCTGTGCTCTAGGAAAACAGAAACACTTATGCCCAGTCCACCATAATTTTTCCAGTGGTCCTTCTTAGACTGCTTCCTTGGCTGGAATGTACTCTGCCACTCTCCTTTCTGCTGGAGTTCCCAGCACATTTTAAAAGTTGTATTTGATTACAGTGTTATGTTAGTTTCTGGTATACAGCAAAGTGATTCATATATGTATATATATATTTCATATTCTTTTCCATTATGCTTTATTACAAGCACTGAATATAGTTCCCTGTGCTATACAGTAGGACCTTGTTGTTTATCTATTTTATATATGGTAGTTTGTTTCTGCTAATGCGTAATTCCTAATTCATTCCTCCTCCACTCCCTTTCCCCTTTGGTAACCACATTTGTTTCCTATATCTATGAATCTGTTTCTGTTTGTGCTGTAAATAAGCACAAATAAAAATAAATCTGTAAATAAGTTTGTGCCGTATTTTAGATTACACATACAAGTGATATTGTATGGTATTTTCTTTCTCTTATTTCACTTAGTATGATACTCTCTAGGTCCATCCATGTTGCTGCAAATGGCATTTCTTCACTCTTTTATTGCGGAGTAGCATTTCATTGTATATATGTACCACGTCTCCTTTATCCATTCATGTGTCAATGTATATTTAAGTTGCTACAATCTCTTAGCTATTGTAAATAGTGCTGCAATGAACATTGGGGTGCATATATATCTTTGAATTACAGTTTTGTCAAGATATGTGCCCAGGAGTGGAAGTGGAATTGCTGGATTCCAGCACATTTTAAATAATTTCCACCAGCATTCCCTGAAGGGATATTGCTTCTAACATCTTGTAACTTTGTTGTTTATTACACATTGTCTTGATTTATTTGTAAACTTGCCTTGTCTACTTCATTAGATAATAAGTTTCTTAAGATTAAGTCCTGAGGTCTTGTTTTGTTCATTTATATATTTCTGGATGACTAGTGCTCCATATGGGCCTTGTGCATCCCAGGGCCTTCCTTGAGCAATTATTGAATTGAAGGGTCTATCAGGAGATGGTGGGGGAGAACTACCATATACCTGGCTCCAGTAATTCTAAAACCATCCCTATGAAATAGGCTAATACTTTCCTCAAATAACTTTGGTTCATTGTTTAACAAAAAATTGAGCAACTATTATGCATCAAGCATTGTGCCAGATACTTTGGACAAAAAGACAAGGCCTAGTTTTTGTCTTTAAGACATGTACAACCTATTGGAGAAAAGATATGTGAATAAATAAATATTTCAGTATAGCATGACTCTTCCTCGAGGTCATTCAGCCTTAGAGTGGTGGAACTGTGCTTAAAATCCAAGTCTGTCCAACTCCAAAGGCACTGGGCCATGATGATTCCAGAACAGAAAAACTAGCAGTGTAAAGAGGGAGATCTCCTCAGAAGAGTGAAGCAATAGTCTTCTTCCACAGATTGTTGAAAACATTAGTAAATAGAGCCATTTTGTTTTGTTCATGAACTAGGTCCTTCAGAAGCTTGGGAAAGCTGATGAGACAAAAGATGAACAGTTTGAAGAATATGTCCAGAACTTCAAACGGCAAGAGGCAAGTACATTTATCTAGTTTCTGGAGTGGGAAATGGGTTGACTTTGTGTTTTAGTGTGTAAATGAAATGCTTTGATGTTGAAGAAAGAACTCATTCGTTGGGCTTGGCATTCACTTGAGGGGAGACACTGCTTCATTCTGTAGACTTTTTCTGTGTAAGGCAAAGAGGTAGTGGGCACAGAAGGAAGAAGATTTGTGTTTTAGAATCTCAGGAGATGGAGACTTTGCTTTCCTGGAGCTCTTCAATACAGATTACTGATCTAAAGGAAAGGCGATCTTTTTAGTGATTTACATTCCATTAAATATTATCAGTAGTTAAATAGTTCTGGCATAATTACTTCCGTTGTTGCATGCATCAAGATCACGGATTCTCAATAGAGATTACCTCTCCTTAAGAGGGAGAAAACTGGTTCTTGGTGGATGAAAAAGATTGTACTCTTTTTATGAGAGTATGTCACATAAATGCTGATAGTATATCTGTATATACGATTTTATGAAGATTTTATGATTTTTAAAGATTTTATGAAGGAGTGTGATTAGGAAAAAAATGCCTAAAACGTTTCTTAAAGAGCGGTGATAATGAAAAAAGTTTGAAGGTGGCATTTTTTGCCCTTTTTTCTTTTTTTGGTTGTTCGTTTTTTCCCGTTGTTGTTGGCCTTGGGCGTTTGTTCGTTGTTTTCTGCCTTTTGCCCCCCCTTGGCTTTTCCCCGGTCGGGTTCTTTTTTTCTTGGGTTTTCCTTGGCAGGATTCTTGGCCGGGTTTGCCTTTTTTTTTTTCGGGTTTTACCGGCCCCTTGATTAATTGGGTTTTTTTAAATTTTTTTTTTTTTTTTCGTTGGGGTTTGTTCGTTGGTTGGATTTTCCCTTTTGGGGGGGTTGCTTGGGGTTCGGGGAAAGGGAGGCGGTGCTTTTCGGTTTGGAAATTTCATTTCGGGGTTGGGTTGCACCACCCACTTTTGGAAATGGAGTTTGGACGTGAGGACAATGTAAGGACATGGGTTTATTTCCCTTCTTTAGTTGTACCCACCGATGTCTACAGATGATATTGTGGCTTCAGAGATAAGTATGCATGGCGTCAGTGATGACAACTCAGCAGTGGAAAATCAGCACTGGGTTTATGTCACTCCCTTTGCTTCTGTTTTTAGACCCTTGACCCTGGAGGTTTCTTTTTTTTTCCATTTGTGTATCAGAGTTTTTGACTGCATTCTAACTGGAGGCAGGCTGTTTCTTTTCCTCACCCACAGAGGATATAAAGTCCAGCAGGTAGGACCAGGTAGACTAGTTTCCACCAAAGCACATTCCTGAATGTCTCCAATTTCATTCTAAGGCTAAAGGTTGGACAGATAGGAACTCAATTTAATGTGAATGACAGTGATCTCATTCTATCTGAAAATGTGCAAAGAGAGAGGGGAGTTGGAGAAGAAAGCAGTAATAGAGAGAAAACTAGTTCTTGTTCCAATGACTAAATTTTATAGAGAACTTTGGATTTATGAAGGTAGAAGAGAGAATTCTTAGAGAAATGTTGGATGTTGGCCCAAAGAAGAAGGTGCCCGCCAGTCTCCTCTGGGAGAACAGATTCTCCATGTTTCCGTACGTCCTCATTTGGTGAGTTCTCTTAGACTTTTCATGCATTAAGAGTGCTCGTGCAGATTATTGACTTGGATGGCAGCAACTTCCCATAGATAAACTTGTCAATCAGTGCTCTTGTTACTTTGCAGGGAGGTCCCTAATGTCTGCTTGAAGGGATTGGATTTGAATAGAAAAAGTGACTCGTGTTTATAGTTTTTCCTACTTGAGGATTATACTCTTTGCTTTGAAATTTGATCTTCCTGTCTAGTGTGTCCCTGTGGAACTAATTAGTTCTCTGCTGTTAGATTTTTTTTCTCTATCCCTTTTCTTATAGTATGATATTTTAACACCCCAGAAGGCTGAACTTGGGGAGCATGAAGTTCAAGAATGCATTTATGTAAGGTAGTACTTTGCATTTTCCAACCCTAGTGAATTTTTATTGTTCTTTTTGGACTTTGTTGACTGAACAAGGTGAGGACTATTTTTTGCCTAAGGTATTAGAGAAAAGTGCAGTTGGCTAAATCATCAACTTTTACCAGTTTAATACTGCTCTGCCATCTATTCCTGTCACTATATACATTATCAAATATTGTGGAGCCAGTAGTAAGTACGCTGTCTTTCTTGAAGAACAGCACCTAAGTTCTGGCAAGATCATTAGCAGATTTCAGGATATAGGTAAAACTTCAACATTTAGGGAAACTCAAACAAGCAATTCTACTTTATAAGAATAAAATGAGCAGAATGGAAATGTAGGAATAGTATTTCTCAGGGAGTCTCCTGACCCTATTTGATTCCCTTTGGAAATACTCTTGCATCAAAACCATCTTGCATTTGTCGATGCTCATTTTGATATTTTTTGTTTTAACCAGAAAGAGTAAATTATAGTCATTTTCATGCCATGAGGAGGGAGGGAACCTTAACCTTGTTGGTAGATAGAGGGAGAACAGGAAAAAAGGAGGGAGAGGGAGGAAGTTGAGGAGACAGGTTTCTTAATCTTCTATAAAAATGTATTAAAGTTTGGGAAGAATGGCTGAAGACTGAATTTATTAATACTCTAGAGGGAAAAACATGTGTCCCTTTAATCCCCAGTACATATTGGTGACCACTTCCCATCTGCTGCATATGCTGAAAAAGACATAGTTCTTGTATAGAAACATTAACCAAGGATGAAGGATCTATCAAGATTGTGGTGACCTCTGCAAAGCCTACTATTTTTAGTATTAACATGAATCATTATTCTAAAGGCAGAAAGCATTATCTTTAAAGATTTTTTTTTGATGTGGACCATTTTTGATGTTTTTATTGAATTTGTTTACAATATTGTTTCTGGTTTATGTTTGGGGTTTTTGGCCATGAGACAGGTGGGATTTTAACTCCCAGACCAGGGATTAAACCCATGCCCACTGTGTTGGAAAGCAAAATCTTAACCACTGGACTGCCAGGGAAGTTCCTGAAGGCATTATCTTATAGTGGCATTCACTGAGGACATTGACCTAGGAAATCTAGATTTGTTTTTTTCTGTGTATATATATTTCAAATCCAAAAAGATATTATGTATAGTATAAACTGAACTTTTTTTTTTTGGATTGGTGCATTATATTATAGTCATCTGACCATACTCAATTAGCATTACATCAATAGTAGACTACTAAAATGTTCTAGAAAGTATTCAAGCATTTTGGGCTTGCTTTTAAATTCTCTTGAAGAAAATCATAAAAGTCCTTATAGTAATTCATATATTCCCTGCTCGTTCATGGTGGAAATGGGTCTGTGTTTGAGCTTGAGGCTTAGCTTTTATCTTATTCCAGCTCCCAATTCTCTTTTTAATGCCAGACTTATTTTCCTAAAAGTTATTTGATTTGTGTTAGCTCAAAAGCCTGGTTGAAGGGTCTGTGCATATGCTCTCATTGTTCACTGTGCTCCGCGTTGTCATGGATTTTGTGGTCTAGATTTTATGAACAGCTCAGTTAGGACAGGGAGGAAGGGAGAGGAAGGTCTAGCAAATGGGAATCAAGTGAACCACTCCCACCGGCTGAGAACTCAGGGCTTTCCATGGACAAGTGGTAAGGAAAGCAAGGATTAGAAATACCCAGCAGGAAGAATGAGATGTGACTTTACCCTTTCCTTTCCAGATGGTTTATTTTGTTTCCTTTCTTACCAGCACTATGACAAGTAGCAGAAATGACTGCTGTGAATGTTGGGTGCTTTCCCGTCTGTTCACCGGAGTGCCTGCTAATGGCTGTGTTAAGGAATCCAGAGTAGGTCCCCAAGTAAAAGAAAGGTCTTTGGGTTCTCTCCTTCCTGTTCGTAAACTTGCCCACTAAGATACCATGCTTGTGGCCGATGTGCAGACTACGACAAAATAATAACCCTGGGGCTGGTGGGGCCCAGATAACCAGCTTTGATCACATTTCAGTGAGTACAGATGTGGGAGCCGTAATGGAGGCACAATCTGAAATCAGACCTTCTCATACAGAGGGGAAGGGAATCTCACTTCTGCTCCCATCTCCAGGGCTTCTCAGGCTCCACTGAAATTCCGTGTAGCTCTCCATGCCCACCACCAGGTGACGGCCTATTTGGTGTAACACAGATGAGGATGGGGAGAGATATTGGGAAGTTGAAATCTCTCCAGTTTGGAGGATCCACAGCCAGCGATTCTCATTGTTAGGATAATCCATTGTCTGGAAGCTAAAGTCATGTCTTCATACTGATCTCTCCTCTGCCCAGGGGTCCTATGTGGCTGCTTTCATCTTTTTCTCTGCACAGAATCTAGTGCTTTGCACATAAGCTTTAAAACATTTGTCAAACTTGAAGCTAAATTAGTGACAGAAATGATCATTTGGAGCATGTTCCTAGAGCACGTTTTTATTTCTGGAATGGAAGAAGTGTTGAATAGTGTGTGAATATTTGTAAGCAGTTTCATGACACTTTTTAGGACATATGTCCATAAATAATTAAAAATTACAGAATAGAAGTTTTAAAAAAAGAAAGTCAATATGAAATGTACTCCTACAGTGTGTTAATGTGTGGATAAAATTTTTACTTATGGCAAGCCACATTTACATTCTGAAAAATTCTGCAATTTTCTTGAGCAGATATCCTAGAACTATTTCTTTGTAACACAGGTAACCATGATATAAAAAGGAATAATTGGTTGTTCTTATGTCTGATGGTGTTACTTAGGGCCTGCCTGCTAGCTTCCAAGCTGTTCTTCCACTTTCTCCACTGCAAATGCTTTGTTATGGTTGAACTATCCTTGCCTGCCCTGCCATCTCCATATGTTCAAGTCCCACCTTTGCTTAAGGTCAACTTACAAGATATTTCTTACCTAATGTCTGTCCAGTCTCCTCAGCCAGTCTCTCTTTCTCTGTGTACTCCAGAGTACATTTTTTTTGGTAGCCTATCCAATAGCTCTTGTTCCATTTTTTTTTT